GAGATTAGAACCGCCGAACTGCAAATAACAATCAGCTGAAGTGGCCTGCAGTACTGCACCCTAACCACTGCGCTACCTCGGCTCTTATGGTGGCAAAGGGAGGCTCTGTTTTATGCTTGCGTTTACATAGGCATCTCCAAAAGGGCACCAAGGAACAGCGGAAGCACGTGCGACCCCACCAGAGGTGGGTTCCTATCAGTTCGCACCTATTCGGTAGAACCGGTTCATCAAATCTACTGAACCAGTTAGAAGAGGTTCCACCAGTGGACCCGGAAAGCAGGCCACACCTACAGAAGAGATTCCAAAACTTTTTGAAACCCACCACTGGACCCCACAGCCTGTCTGGGATAAGCGCGAACTCTTTTGATGGGACTATCCCAGGGTTAAAAGGCTCGCCTACATTCTGGGAAGAGAGCCTCTGAATCTATGGTGGCCCCAAGTCAAGAATCTGGTGGCATCCTTTCCAACAAATACATTTGATGCAAGGGAGCGAAGCCCGCGTTGTTCCAGCTTGACTATTATTTCAGCTGTCACCCTGGACTCATCTTCAGTTCAAATGATGATTACCTGCTCAAGGGTTTTCCCTCGGGTATTTCTGGAAACAGGGGCTAAAAAAGGAGGGATGGTAAAATATGCTTTAAGTTCTAAAGGGCATACCTAGATAATTGCGGGCCTTTTTTAAAATAAGTATTCCACTCAAAAACATGAGATACTTATTCAGGACAAAATATAGATTTTGCTTTGATTTGTAGACTGGGTTTCTTTTAAGATACTTCTTGGGCACCCTCTGGTGGATATGATTAAAATAATAAAAACAAATTGAATTAAAATGACCTACAAACTCTGAAGACGGAACACACAACTTTAGAAAACGCTTAATTGTATTTTTAGGCTATTTTTCACTATAACTCAGCAATCTCTAAACTTAACCCGAAACTTTTCCTAATCTTCTTAGTGGAAATTCTGCAGAATATTGAAGATTCGCATTAAGCATATTACTCTCTTACTGTTTTATTTATCTTGCTTTTTTTAATTAAAAAGCTGTCAACATAGCCATAAGCCTTGTTGTTTGATACAATCAAAATTTATTTGTAGTACATAGGGAAGATCTTAGTAATTCTCACAGAGAGTAAAGGGGAAATACAATTATTAACTTTGAATCTTCTCTGATTCATGGGGAAAAAATATTTTCCACTATACAGTCAGGAGTATTCTGTAATTATGCTAACATGCCTCCTCCCCCCTCCCTCCTCCCATGTATACATGCCTCTGATATACACTGGTGACTTGGAAATGGATTTGTGCTGCAGTGATAATATGTGTCAAAAGTGACAGGTAGCTCTTGATTTACGAGATACTAAGGCATGCCAGTTGCTAAGCAGGTTGACAGGTGACAGACACAATTTTACGACTTTTCTTGCATGGTCATTAAGGGAAATACCCATTGTTAAGCGAACCTGCAGTCAGTAAGTAAACACTGCAGTCATTGAGTCAATCCACTGTCCACAATAGGCATTTTTTGCCAGAAAGCAACAACATACTGGTTTCCAGCAATAAAACATTATAAACCACAGTCCCATGACCATAGGAGACTGAAAATGCAGGCTGGTTTTGCTAAAGTGCCCAAAATACAATCAGATGACTGCGGGGAGGGGGGGGGGTCGGTCATCAGAACTTCGAATCTGAATTGTATCTTTTTTTGAGGTCCATCGTCACTTCAAAATGGTCATAAGTCAAGGACTAGCTGTACAAGAGAAGAGGCCTCAGACCTTTCCATGATAAAGTCTATCTCAAACCTTCAGGACACCAAAGGGGGCCCCTCCAAATGTCCTCAAGGACACTCGGTGGGGAAGGATGGTTTAAATCACTTTAAACCGTTCAAAAAAACATAGCTGTTCTCTAGCCGATTAGCCGCATTGTGCGAACGAGCGTGGAAATGGCTACAACCTTAATCGAGGGGTCCTGACAATTGATTTCTATCCGCTGCCGCTTCAAAGGAGGGTCTACGTCTTCATCAGTCACTTCGTGGTTTTCCAAGACAACTGCAAGCCCAAAAAACAGAAAGAAGAAAACCGTTTTCAGTAGTTCCACCAAAGGCCCTTCGTTATGAAATTAAAAGGAAGAGCAGCAAACTGGATGGAGAGAAGCATTCTGGAGCCTTTAACGCGTAGGAAATTCTTCTCCAAAATTTGTTTTCACAGCTAGGTTTACCTACTGGTTAAGAGCAGGGTTTCGCAACTGTAGGGAAGTTATGTGGACTTCAACTCCCAGAATTCCCCAGCCAGCCCTGCTCCTGACATAGAGGATTTCAGCAGTGAATCAGCAGCCGGATGTTGGACATTTTAATTTCCTTGATAGTCCACCCACCAGATAAAGAAGAGATGAGGATTATGAGAATTAGTTCAACACATCCGGGCCTAAACTAAATTAGAGGATGCTTCCTTAAATAGGTTTGATCCGATGTGACAGTCCCCTTGGTTTACATTAATTCATCTGCATTGCTTTGTTTTCTGTTTTAAAACAAAGTTAGCAGTGAAATACCAGATTTCCAAAAATTGGAGGCAGTGAAGAAAGCTAAGTGTGAGGTTGCCTCTCTGCTGTTTTACTCAGCCTCACAAAAAAAGAAGTTCTGTTATATTACATCTTTAATTTTCTATGCAACATATGCCACTGAAATTTGTCTGAAATGGTAGAGGGTGTCCTGCCTGAGAAGGGGGTTGGACTAGAAGACCTCCAAGGTCCCTTCCAACTCTGCTCTTCTGTTCTACCCTACTCTACTTTCTACTCTATTCTATTCTGTGGCTCCCTTACCTTTATGACTGTGCAATAACCTACCTGGATGATCTGGGTTCAAGTCCTCCACAGCTATTTGAACTACATCCGCTAAATCCTGTTCTGTCATCATTCAGAAACAGGGGCGTGGGGGATGAGCCGAAGGTGGGTCCGTCAGTTCATACAACTCTGATTCTGCGAAAGATCAAAAAACGGGGGCCCCATGAGGATTACAGCATTCACCATTTGACAAAAAGATATGCCCGTTTGATCTTCAATGCATAGGGGGATTCCTCCCACCCACCACCCACCATTGCTTCATGACAAGCAGTGGCAAGCAGACCTTTGCAACTGGAGGCTATAGCATCCCTGGTGTGGCTACTCAGACTAACTCAATGCTCACCCGAAAACTCCCCAATTCCACTCGTGCAATGAAGGGAGAGACAGTCTGCTTTTCCCGCAATTTATTGTAAGTGCTAACTCCTAACTAAATCCATCATATTGACACTTAATACCATTGTACAACTGCAATCCCCTTCGAAGACAGCCCTAAAAGATGAACCAGCAAGAACCGATTTCTTCCAACGCTTGCTCTTTAAATTATCAGCGCATTAAAGAAATCTCGACCATCATTTTAATACCACAGTATAAATCTATGCATGTCCAGTCAGAAGTTAATTCTGACAAAATCCAGTAGCTTAAATTACAGGTAAAATGGTCCAGGACTTAAATCGGTTTAAGTTACAGATTTGAAAAACAAAACATGTTCTTCGGTCTTTGAAGTATTTATTACTGTGGGAAACTTAGCATATCTGTATATGTACCCAATATTCTGTTTGCAATGGTTAGAATTGTTTTAGACCAAGTCCCCCCTGGTTATTCTGTGTTTTTAACTGCTTTTGTGTAATCTGCCAGGTATTGCAGCACTGATATTATGGGGGGGACATTTCTAGAGTACCGTAGTTATTCCCTTTTCACTTCTTTGCATTGCAATCTCCTGGATTATATTATATGACCTGCTTCAGAATCTGACACTTAACAGAAAGCAAATTTAGGTAACAGTAATGCAATTCAACCTATCTAAAAGACAGAGGGCTGGTGAAGACGGTTCAGGATGGACCAGAATGTAGAAGAGATGGCACCCATATTACACAATTACCAAATGTCCAAAGGTGATTTTTTTCAAGAGGCAACTGGACTTTTCACTTCTCATCCAAGAAGCTTCTTCAGTTTTGCCTTCAAGGAAAGCACACAAAAAAGTCCAGCTATCTCTTGTAAAAAATACCTTTGGGATAACTGTGACCCGGATGAGTGAGAATCTCTTCTACATTCTGGTCCATCCTGAACCGTCTTCACCAGCCCTCTGTCTTTTAGATAGGTTGAATTGCATTACTGTTACCTAAATTTGCTTTCTGTTAAGTGTCAGATTCTGGAGTATAATATAATCCAGGAGATTGCAATGCAAAGAAGTGAAAAGGGAATAACTACGGTACTCTAGAAATGTCCCCCCCATAATATCAGTGCTGCAATACCTGGCAGATTACACAAAAGCAGTTAAAAACACAGAAT